CTCAAATAATATACAGATTTAAATTTAATCAATTTATAAAACTAATTAAAGCATATAATGGTCTTTTATTAGTTTCATTTTATATAAAGTTATAATAAAAATAATTTGAACAGTTTTTTTATATAAATCAAATATAAAAAAAATTAATAAAATAATTGCATGCATATATTAAGGAAAATTGTTATTATTCATATTAAATTCTTTTTTGGGGTATATTCGTTCAATTTAATAAACAAAATATATCAAAATTTAATACAGTCAATATTCAATATAAGGGAGAAAAATAAGAGGAAGCCCTTATATCGAATAATAAAAAAAATAAGAAAAAAGAAATTTATGTGTTTGCTTTTTGTTGGTTATTTCAATTTAAAAACCCAAAAATGGTAATAATTGGATTAATTTGTCACTAAGTTAAAAAGTCAATTAAAATAATATAAAAACTATGTTTTATTATATTTTTAATTAAAATAAACAAAATATTATAATTATAATAAAAATAGATAAACAAGTAAATTTTATTTTGAAATAATACAATGAATGTATTTGCATTCTTTCAAAAAGTATACTTTCCTTGACAACATATAATAATCAATTTGTATTCCCACTTTACGAACTTCATGAAACCAATTGATCATTGCTTCCTCAAGTTCCAGGTTCTGTGGTTTACTTATTTGTTTATACAAGGATGGAAAGTTTATCAATGTTTCTTTAGAAATTGAACGCAAATGATAAACTTGCTTTGGAAAAATTACTATTTTCAGTTGTTGTCTGACAACTTCGATTACTTTCTGTGTATTTTGATAAGGATCAATTAAAACAACAATTTTTATTTTGTCTCGTAACATCAATGATGTTCTTGTTTTAACACATTTGGATTGCATTAAAACTTAATGATTTAACAGATTTATTTGAAGTTTTTAAGTCGAAACAAAGTTAAATACAAAAGTGTTATTTATTATGTTAATTGTGTTAATATATTTGTCTTTGTTTTTTGATTTATTATAAAATTTATTATTTCTTTAAGATAAAAATAATTGCCAATTGTTTTCAAGACATAAACAAAGTGTTTATTTTGGTTAGAAAAAAATAATAATCAAAAAAAATATTTTTGTGACAAAAAACAAACCGAGGTATTTTTTTGTTAATTATATAATTCCTCATTTTTTCCATTATATCGAATAACATTGGTACCAGGTATTCCCTTATATCGAATAATGACTGTACATTTTATTATAATAATATGATTCATTTTGAAATAAAAACCGAAAAATGTTTTAAAACATCTTATTAGAAATTAGATGTTTGAAAACAAATAGAATACAGAACTAATACTTTTATGAATAGTTTATTAAAATTACACATAATAAAAAGTTATAAACACCGTACTATTATTATTAAATCGGAATTTAAACAAATTAATTTTAATTGTTTTTTATTTAGAATTGCATTTATATTATAACTTATAACTTATTGAAAACGATCCAAACCAAACCCACCTCAAGAACAAATTAATTACACCATCAAAATGTTGTTAACTTTTGAATTGATTATATATTTTAAACATAATTATGGGTTTAATTTATTATTTAATGGTAAACCTTAATATATTATAACTTAATGAACAATATTTGATAATTATTGGACTTTAAAACAAAACAACCAAAAAAACACAACAACACAACAATAACCAAAACAAACAAAAATAAAACACATTTTAATAAAAAAGTAAAGTTTATAGAATAAAACACAAATAGTAGTCAATTACATTATAGTAAATGTTGTCTAAATTGAATACAACATGCCAAATAAATGTTAATTTCAGATGACCTTACCAACGTTAAATTTTCAATCGTTTCATTTTTTTCAAGTATTTTTTAAGCTACAATGACTTGAAGCCATCGAATACTGCACTCTTAATTAATATCAAGAAGTCAGTTTCTTCATTCACTTGAACAATTTTTATATTCAGTGTTGTTGAAAATGAAATTATTTTTTATTTGTTATGTTCTGAGTCTCTTGTTCGCTTTTTGATTGATATTTTTATCATGTTTATTATTTTATTTTAATAATTTTATTAATATTTATAATAAATGAGCAATGATATTTTATTTGTTTTTTTTGTAATTTCTCTCAACCATTGTGATTATTCAATATATTTTTGTTGATCAAGTGATCAGCACAAGATGATGTTTTATAATGTTTTGTGTTGATAATTAAGTTATTGTTATTAATTATTCTTCGTATAAAACCGATTATTAAGTTGTAGTTAGTCAGGCTATATATTCAAGTGTTGTTATGTGTCTTGGAATTACCAATTATGTTTTGTATTTATTAACACGACAAGTTTTGGAATAATCCCGTTTATATAGCCAAAATAATTAAAATATGGTTAAAAACACTTTCAGATTCTTATAAAAATATGAGTCATTTTAAATGACACATGTTGTTATTTTTTTGTTGTGGGTTATGTTTTAAGTAAAAATTTTATTCTCATTATATTACCACTTATAACATGGGTTTTAAGCTTAAGTATCATTATAATACAATCATGTGGATTAGAGTTATGATATGTCATTTTATTGTGTTATAAAAAGATGTGTTTGAAAAAAAACATATCTCATCATTCTTATTGTTTTTCTAATAAATTATTAGCCCATTATTACTATTGAAATGATGTTTGGTTTAAAAATACGTTTTTTGTTTTGTTGTTTCGTGATTATTCTTGAATGGATTTATGAATAAGAAAATTCAAAAAAGATGGTTCTACAAGTTTATAATGTGTTTTATTGGTCAAAACAAAAATTCAATTGCTTTAAGAAATTTCATTTAAAAAATAATGAGTTTTTTCTCTTTTTCTTGTAACAAATTTTATGTTTTTTGTTTTTTAAATTGTTATATGGGTAGTGCAGGTATGGCGCTTATTGCAAATATGTCGCAGGTCTTCAGATATAAAACCAATCTATTGTTTAACAACTTAATTCCTAAAAATATTTTATATTAAATTAATAATAATATATATAGTTTGTTAATAATATTTTTATTAATTATTATATTAAAAAGAAATAATTAAATAAATTTTGAAATTTGTAAAAAAAATATATATTAATTTTTGAAAATTGATAATAATTAAAAATAAAAATAACAAATTATAAAACAAATTGAAATAATGTTACAATATAAAAAAAACAGCCTTTGTTGTTGATAAAATATCTTTGTTGTTAATAAAATATCTTTGTTGTTGATAAAATATCTTTGTTGTTGATAAATTATCTTTGTTGTGTTAGAATTGTCTTAAATTGTTGATCAGTTTTGTTGTTTTTTAATAACTTATTTTTTACATAATCTATCATTTTTTTATTATTTTTGTTTGTTTTATTTTTTGGTTTAACTACCAGATTTTGATTTAAAGTTTTTTCAATTGAGTTAATTTTAAAAAATAAAATATTTTTTTTTATAGAAGCATTTAATTTTTTAATATTTTTGATTATTTTTTAAAACAATTAAATTATTGTTTAACTATTATAAATTAAAAATGTCATCAAAATATTTTCAAATCACAACAATTTTTAAGACCAAAACATTTTGTATATATTTTAATAAAATATTCAATTTTGTTATAAAATTAATTTGAAGTCTTTTTGCAACAAAAAGATGATATTTTAAAAACTCTTTCATACCATCACGTATTCTAAAATGAACATTTTAAACGACATTCATTATTTTTTTGAAAACTATTCATTGTTGATGTAAAAATATCCCGTTTTGCCAACTGTATTTTTTATCCTTAAAATGTTTTGACGTGGCAGCTCTAGAGCGTTCTATTTGTTATTTAACAAACAAAAATTACATAAAACTTAAAACCAAAATCGGGAAACATATCCTAATCGGAACTGCGCTAATTATACTTTTTTCAAATTTTGTTCTATTTCGGGTTGTAAAATTTGACTCCCAAAGGTTTACCTGATTCATCAACAAGCAAATGGCAACAAATCATGGACATGACATGAATTCGGATAATGACACTAAATATAAAAGTTAATTTTATATGCTTGAGTAAAATTATTGTCATTAGAATAACACTTTTTAAATTATAGCTCAAAACAGATTATTTTTGAGTTTGTTTTAAAACAATTTTTTTGATTAAGACAACACAAAAATAATGACTTTTTTTGTTAATATTAAGAGAAAGTAAATATACATAATAGACAGAAAAAAGACGTTGGAAAACTCAGTAATTCATATAATTAATAATAGAAATGATATTTATAGTCTACATAGTTAGTATTTGAAAAGTTTTAAATTATTTCAAAATGGCTATTGTATTAATATTTTTATGTGTTTTTTGTAATTAACAGCGATGTGTTTATGTTTCACAATGCAATTCATATTTCATTTCAACTTAAAACCAATTGTTTTTTTGTTTTATGTGTTAAAACATATTTATTTGTTTGGAATAAATGTTATTGCATTTTACCAGTATCCTTATTTTGCCATTTTTTACGTTTTTTTTCATAAATTTTTATATTTTTTTCATTTTTTAACAATTTATTTGTTTTTTAGTTCAAAATTTGAACTCGTTATTCCATTTTAATTTTACTATAATTGAACTACACTGTATAATATATTTTTTTTTTCAAAAAAAAAACAAAAACACTGTACTTTTTAGCAGTATTGGTTTGTTGGGGATTAGGTACGAGTTAATTATAACCAATTAATTAATAATTTATTTTTATTAAATCTTATTTTTTTCTAACAAATCTTTATAGTTTTTTTCTTTTTTTTTATTTACAATAATGATTAAAATGTTTTTATAATACTTTGAATCAAAAAATATCTAATATTTTTCTAAAAAATATTCTATAATAACCTTGTTTTTCCATTTTAAACAATAACTAAAAAATATTTTAAATAAAATAAATTAGAAATAACAAGAGAGTACTTTTAATACATAATTGTCGTTCAATTTTAAGAATAGATTTGAAAAACAACTCAAAAAGATTATGTTCTTCTTTCTTTTGTTAACTCTTGGCTTTTCGGCTTCTTTGACTCCTCTAACGGAATGCACCAAAGCAAGAATCACTTACTATTCCGGATATGAATCAGGAGGAGCGTGTGGCTTCCCGGACATCTCAACCAAAGTCACTGCCGGTTATATGTTCTTCTCCGCGCCAAACACTGCGTTCTATGACAAGTCAAACAAGTGTGGTATTTGTTATGAAATGGTTGGTCCAAATGGTGCACTTCGTTTCATGGTTAGTGATGAGTGCCCACAAGCTACTAACTCTCTTTGTCGAGGTGATATGATTCACGTTGACCTTGCAGATAACGTTTGTTAATGTTTCATAAGAATCTTTTCAAACTAATTCAAAGGCTTTCTCGTACGTAGCTGACAAAAGTCTTGGAAAGACAAATGTCACAATGAGAATGGTGGCGTGTGACCATACTGGAAAGATCAAAATACTGTCCCAGTCTGGGACGTCTGTGTATTGGTACTCCTTTGTTGTGTTGAACCACGTCATAGGTGTTGCTTCCGCTTCAATTTCAAATGACGGTGGAAGTACGTGGACTGCTGCGAGCAGAACGGCTTATAATGCGTTTGTGCTCACTCCAAAGAGTGCGCTGAAGCTTCCGTTCCAAGTCAAAGTCACTTCTATTGCCGGCGACTCTGTTATCATTGATGTCACCAATGCAGACGGAGGGAAGACTATTGAAGGAAGAGGGCAATTTGCTGTTCCAAGCAAAGAGTGGTTCGATATTGAGACTTTGAAACAGGTCACCAAGAAACCAGCAGATGCTGATGGGTGCTGTGCTGTACCTGATGACTTCACTGTGTTGTATGATGACAAATTGGAAGGTGTATGGAAAGATTCTTCATTCTCAACTACAACATCTTACTCCTACGCAACTTCACCAAAGGAAGGAAAGTATTGCATTCAGTCCAGCATGAAGAGTTATGGTGGTGTGCAAATCATTACTAACATTCCTGCTCGAGCCGACCAATACACACACATCGAATTTTATTTAAAAACAGAAGGCACTTGCAACTTGTGTATTTTCGTCCAGGGAGTTGAAGCAACAAAAGGTGGCGTGAGTGTTGGACCAAGTGCGGCTAACACGTGGACTTATATCAAATTGAAGTTGTCCGATATCGGATACCCAACTAAAGGATTTGCTGGTGTGATGTTCCAAAACGATGACACCGTCACAAGAAAGGTATACTTTGACAAAATCCAATTGGTGAAAGATCCAAGTGCACCTGATGCCGGTGTTTGTTGGAAGTAACACTCTTTTTTTTCGTCTTGCAATTTGGTTTTATAAAAGTTTAGTATTTAAATTATTAATTTAATTATATAGTTTAATAACACAAGTAATATATAGTAAGACCTCGATAATCGAGGCTCGATTATTTCCAATTTTTTAATTTTAAAAACCTTGACACTTTCCAAATTGAAGATTTTGAATTTTTTTCGTAAATTGTTTTACAGAAGGCTGAAAAAACACTTGACAAAGAAAAAAGGGATGACAAAATTCTATTTTTAAATTTCAGAGTATTTTTTATTAAGGTTTGAGAACCATCATTAGGGGATTTTGTTTACATTTCTCGAATAAATTAATTCAGTTGTTTTACCATAAACTCTGTTTTGCCATAAGTAGGAATTTGAGTAATAATTATAACGGCAATGCTTGACCTTTAAAAATTGAAAAATATTTTGAAAAAAAAGCATAAAAAGAATTATAATCCGATAAAAACTGTTGTTTTATACTCTCTTTTTAGACATGATATCGACCAATCTTGGGATATCATGTCTCTTCAGTTCATAACCGAGTAATATGAATTTGAAATATGTTCAAAACCCCCCAAAAAGTGGGGTGAAAAAACACGCCAAGATGGAGAGGATAATTATGAAGGTCACAGAAGAAATAAAACCCAAAGCAACAAAGAAGTCACAATTTACAGAAAAAATTGTTTAGAATGCGGGAAATGTTCTTTTGTGTTTTATGAAGATTCATTATTCTTTAAATTGGCATCAGGAAGAGAGCACGTTGAGGCGATTGTTTCTACTTTATAAAGTGAAAGTTTTGTGACATTAAGAGCACTTGCCGTGCTTTTAGAAACACACCAGAAGTCGTCCAATTGAAGAGTTTAGTGCATTTTCTAATATGTTTTCAAATGCAGCAATCATTAAACGACTCTTTGCTCCTCCCGATGAAATAGCGACAGTTTCCGTATTTGATTTGTAAAGGAAGAGTAAAAAAGCTTTTTTCTTCCATTGGAACTTCGGTGTTGGTCAGTCATATCAATGAATTGTTATAGCAAATCGAGTTTTCTGGAAACTTATGGTAACACATTCCATTCTAAAAATTCAAATTGCCAGTATTTGTGACAATTTCCATGTATTATTCCGTGGAGATCAACAAGTCTACGGCAGTCCTGTTGACACGATTAAATAGAGTCTCGAGCCTTTCAAACTCACAATTGGCGAATTGGAGGAGATCCAGAACTGAATTGTTCGAAAAGACGTTTATTAATCGAGTTCAGTTTCATTTTTTTGTTTTTGGAAAAAATAAAACGCTGTTTTTAGTCTTTGTCAAGTTATTTCTAATTATAAAAATAGAATAAGTGGTAATTCCCGAAAAAATAAACCTAAAACAGCTAACCAAAAATCATTATTAAGGTATTTTGGCCAATCATCTTTCTGTCAATCAATTTATTCTTTGTCAAGTAATTATTCTGCCTCCTGTATCAGTTAATAATATAAATTAACTAACTTTAGATTACCTCATATTTTTTTTTAAAAACTTCAAACAATTAATCAGATCTTTGAAATTGTCGAGGTTTGTAAAATGTCAAGGTTTGGAAATAATCGAGGTCTTACTGTAGTTACTTTATAGTTTTTTACTATTGGTTCAATAATTTATAAGACAATTTCTTACTATAATAGTAAAAAGTATCTATTCAATAGAATATATTGAATAGAACAATTGAGGTGCAACCAAATAAGACATAACAAGAACTTTACACCAACCAAAATGCTTTCTCGCATTTCATATTACACACTTCTTATTTCAAAGATATCAACCCACCAATGAGAGTTTTTCTAAAATACGAATTAGACTTCTTCCATAGTTTGTCCGCCACGTCTCTTGCTTTTGATATCTTTTTCTTCTCTTCTTTTGACGCTTCACCTGAACGGGGTGTTTCCAGCTTTGTCGATAATTGAAAGAGTTGATCCTCGTTGTCTATTATTTGGATTTTCTCAAGCACCGCATGAACTTCGGGGGATTGCCCAAACTCAAAAGCCGCGTCTTGCTTCATCACAATTTCTTTGAGCATCGAGCCGTACGTCCTCACTCTAAAGAAGTTAATTAATTTCAATTGCCCATTCTCACTTTTTTCGTTCTCTTTAGTGAAAACTAAATCACCGAGAGTGGACCCCAAAAATGGGATAACAGGAGCTTCACATACCGCAGTGATGTCTCGCAGCTTTTTGAAGTTTGACTCGTAATTCACAAGTCCATTGAATTCGTCCAAAAGGCGTTTGACCTCCTCGGAGAGGCCTTCTCGTGTATCTTTCAGTCGGAACACTGCTGAAGAGTCCAACGCCGCCACAACTGCTTTAAACCCGTCGAAGTTGTGCACCTGTTTTAGCACCTCCGCCACTCTCACAAAATATTCGACTGCAAAAATCCGATGGGACAATTTCTCGAACGAGAGAATCATGTTTTGGACTAAATACGATATTTTGTTTGTCATTTGAATCATCGCGACGATGTTTGGTGTTAAAGTTTTGTTATCCTTTTTCATCCAACACTGTGATAATAACTCCTCAACGGGAATCTTTCTAAACAACTCAAATTGAACTACGGTGATATGTCGAGCAACATCTCTCACTGAATAACAAAACAATGGATGCACCTCCTCTAAGTCTTTCACACGTTTAAGCTCGCCAACAACCTTCACTTTTGCATCCGAGTTTGTCGTAGAACTCAAATTCTTTTGTTGAAACTTCGCGTCTTGCTTGTCGATGAATTCCCGCATAAATCGCGCCATCTTTGGCTTGAAAGCTTCGTACATTGAAACTAATGTCTCTAAGTTCGACCGCATGTCGACGTCCTCAAAGTCTATAAATCGCCACTTCACCCAACTCCTCACAAAGCCCATCACTTTCATTCTAATAGGCGCAAGATATGATTTTAAAAAGTCGTCCCACCCCATTTTATCGGGAATTGCGGGATTAAATCGTTTCATTAAAACACTTAATAACTCCTCTTTTGTGGTTACCGTCGGGTAGCCGAATACTAAACACTCCGCAAAGTAAGGATCTTCCATAGAAGGTCGTGTGATCACTTCAACCATTTTTTCTAATGTTGCAGTTTGAATGATTTTAAAATCCCAACCCTTTTCTTTTGTGTAAGTGATGAATTCTGGGGAGTCTGGATTTTCAAAGATGGCATGGTGTGGGTCGGGTCGGTAACTATTTTCGTCAACGAAAATAGTCACATCGCTATTTGAGGAAAGCACACTCTTTGTTTTAATATCACCACGAGGCGATTCAGGAAGTTTGGAGAATTCTGGAATTTTGGAAAAGTCCGGGTTTATTATGATTGAACCCCTTTTGCGAACCCCTTGAATGCTTTTCGAAGACATTTGAATTTTAAGGGAATGGGAACTCAAAATTGCGTCCTTACTACATAGGTCTAAAATATAAGCAACTGTTAAATCCGCTTGGCAACTTGGACATTTCATGTTCTCCTTGACAGAATTCGCAAAACATTCAACACACATTTGCTGTTTACATTTCGGGCATTGGGTTTGGGCAACTAGACGGTGAGCGCATTTCGACATGAAATTTTTTAATTTTTAGTTTTCTTAATTTAATCGAGTTTCCCATTTTAAAAAAATTATTTTGTGGCTTGACAAGTTCGTTGAAATAATCAAATAAACTCTGATAATATCTTATACAAATTAATTGTGTTTAAAAGGTATTGATCTTTAATATTTTATTGGTTTTGATTTATAATAACTCAACTATTTTTTTAGGATTTAACGTAATAATTCCATCGATTTATTCAAATCATTTTTTTCGGTTTTTTATTTCTATTTTTAAACCAATCTTGAAACTAAAAAATATAAAGATGATTGATAAATATAGTTTATTTTCTTTTTAAATTAAATACACAAATCTTTATTATTTTGTCTTTTTTATTAAAAAAACAGAATATCAAAAACAAAAAGAAAAATATTAAAATGTTTTTGGTATTTTTAAGAATTGTGTCTAAAATTTTGCATATAAGTACAAAGTTAAGTGTTTAGATCGACAATCCCCATTTTTAAAATTTTTCAATAGTAATATAATATAAATAATAATAATTTTGTTTTAATTAGTTTCAATCATTTTTTAAATTACGTCATTCTTTAAAAAGTTTTTGGTGTAAAAATGGCTTTATATTTTTGTGATAAAACGGGCTTTTTAGTAAAATTGTAAAATGAATCTTTAAAATAAGTTATAAAAATATTTTTTCGAATAATTTACTTTTTATAGTTCAAAAGTAATCAAATAACTTTTACAGACAATCATTGTTTTTTTTTGATACAAAAAAACACTTTTTTTGTATCAAACAATTAACTATCACAAATAATTACAAAACCAAACCAAAGAAACTATTGTTATGTAATTGAATTCCCGTCATATGATACCGGAGAACAGATTGTGAATTCAAAAAAGATAAAAAAGAACAAATAACTAAAATATAATACTTTAATAAGAAACTATATTAACAACTATAACATGTAACAAAAAAATTATCTCAATCTATTTTTTCTGTTAGAGGAATAAAGAACTTCAAAAAACAATACACAATGTCCTCATTTAAACGTATAACTCGCAGTTCGACGCGTCCCAAACACGATGACGCAGACACTGAAAATGACAATGAAAACGACCACATGTCTGAGGATGAGAATCCTGAAGACAACGAAGATGAAGGAGAGTTGTATCAGAGTGAAGGGGAAGACGGTGAGGAACTAGAAGTTGACGAAGAAGACAATGAAGAAGTCGACGAGGAGTTAACAAAGCCGTCCAAGAAACCAACGCCAAAGCAACGCGCCGAGAAGACGATGACCAAAAAGGAAATGAAAACGTTGTATCGCACTCGTGAAGAAGTTATACAGTACCGCGACACCCCGACGTTCAGGAGGAGTGTCATCGGCTTCTTTGTGAAAGTAGTTTCTGGTAAAGACGAGTACATTGCACAAGTCAAAGACGTCACGTTGTCCGACAAAGTCATTAAGATAACGGGTGCGCTGAGGTCGCCGTTTACTCTTACTGTGGAGAGTCCGAGTTACACTGGGAGTCGAATGGTTACACTAGCTGAGATATCAAACACGAGTTTTTCTAATAGCAACTATGACACTTATATCAAAGACGCAACAAATAACAACTTCAATATACTCAAATCAAAGGACGCGAGAGTACAAGCAAGAATTCTACAGACACTAGAGGAATATAAACCGACAGAAGAGGAGGAAAAAGAGGCGCAAATAGTGTCACATATGGTTTACGGGACGAAGATAGAGGCCGAGGACGTGAAACTGAAGAAGGGGAAAGATAACGAAGAAGAGACTGTTGGAGAGAAGAGTGCGAAGACGAACGCAATGGAAATAGAGGAGCCCGAGAGAAAAGATTTGTACGAGTGCAAAATTAACGAGGAGATCATTCGGGAGATGGAGGAATCAATCAAAATGTGCAACGAGATGGAGAACCATATGATATATGATGAAAAAGAACATGACAAAGTGGTCGACGTGTGTAATGACTTCTTTAAAACGTTTAAAATGCCAGAAACCCCCATTTTGTACCAACAACAAGTTGTGGTGAGTTGTGAAAAGGATCCTAAGAGTGGGATGACTGAGGATGTACTCAACAAATATCTGTAATTGCGAGTTTTGAATGGCCAAATTAGTGTTCTATTCATTTCAGTGTTGAACTATAAAGTATAGTAACATTAATTAATATTAATTAATTATTAGTATTTTTAATTTTTTTGGTTAATTAATTAAGATTATTAAAATTAACAAATTTATTAAAATATTTCAATTAACTGTTGCTTTTTTCCAAAAAAACATATCAGGTTGTTGGATATTTGTTTTTTTTGTTGTTAATAATATGTAAAACAAATTTTATTTGAAGCTATACATTAATTATTATTAACTATTATTAACTATATGATAGTTTTTTTTAATGTATTGCATTTTTGTTTCCAAAATTTGGTAAAGAGTTGATTTCGCTTTTTTACGATCAAGTTAAGTTGAGCCCCATTTTTCTTCGTATAGTACATTAATTGTATTTTTTATTAAATTTTGTAGTTTATTTTTTGGAATCATAACAGAAAACCAGTCATTATTTTTTGGCGTTCTTTCGAAATATTTCGGGATTATTCTGATATGAATTATTTATAGTTCATATCATCCCCATTTAATTATTATTTTGTAATAAATAACTTAATAATATACTATAAAAAAATAGTACATTGCAATGGAAGGACTCTGTTTTCAGTTAAAAAGAAACCATACTGTATAATAAAAAAAATTATTCTTTACTAATAAAAAACACCAAAAAAATGAACATATCCAAAAAATAGAAGAAGATTTAAATAACTGGAAAAAGAAAGCGAACTCAAAATATAACAAAAGATGACGATGTTAATAGTTAAAGCGAAATGCAGTGTACAGTCGAAGTCGCCCCTGAAATTATCATACATGGAAGGTGACAGTATAAAAGTGATAGATCGCATGTCCAATGGTATTTGGAAGGGACAAATTCAAGACCAAAGTGGGTTGTTTCATGTATCTACAGTAGATGTTCCCATAATAGAAAAAGTAGTTATGAACTATGATTTCTTAACTGGAGATTCCACGTGTATGAAAGCCAAAGCTGGCGAAGTGTTAACTGTGATAGAAAAGAGTGTTCGTATTGGGTGGTTATATTGCCTACGTGGGTATGAGACAGGATACATCCCACAAAATTTCACATCGACAGTTAAAGAAGACCCATCATCGGAAGCGTCAACAACTCAACCACAAAAACCACAGAACTTGCCGTGTTTAGTATCAGTGAAGTACATATACCAACCAAAAAGTACTAAAGAATTATCATTAGTCCCTGGAGATGAAGTCGAAGTCATTTCTTGTGAGAATCAGTGGTGGTATGGGCGTAAAGGGAATTCATTTGGGTACTTCCCTGGAGAGTATTGTCAAGTCATAGGAGGAATTAACAAAGAGGTCAAAAGTGAAGGAATTGTTTTGTTTGACTATGTTGGAAAAAATCCGCACGAATTAACTGCTGAGGTTGGAGACATTTTCTATGTCGAAAGATTTGTGGGGAGTTGGGCTCTTGTGTATGTGAATGAAGAGAAGTACGTCTTCCCGTCGAACTTCTTGTCTTTGTTGACCGAGTCCGACAAAAAGATTAAACAAGAGACTGCTGTCACGTTGGACGACTTCTGTGGAGGGTCCTTAGGACTTTTAGCTGTTCGACAGAGTGAACTTCTTGTAGTCTTGTCGAATGAAGCGAATGGGATGTCGAAATGTTTTAAAGGCGAACAAACGGGGTTAGTTCCCACTTCCAATTTAATGACCATTAAAGATGGCCAAGACTATTTGATAGTCGAAAGAACGTTTCAAGCGAGAAATCAGAATGAAATGACTATTATAGCCAATCAAGCGTGGATTGTGATGAAAATAGTCGATGAAAATTGGATCATTGGAAAGCGGTCGGGGGTCGAAGGCTTTGTCCCCCGTAGTTTTGTGAAGATCCAAAAGTTTGTGAAACCATATAGAAAGGAATACACCGAGGGCATCGCACATATTAAAACACAAACCCTTGCGAGGAAGAACGGAAATACACAGGCGCCAGTGGAACAGAAAAATTTCTTCAAAAAAGAGGAAAGAGTCCAGAAAAAGGGATTCTTCACACAACGAAAGAGAAAAGGAAAGCCCGAGGTCGAAATCACTAAAGAAGTCTATGAAGAGAAGAAACAAGTCATTTTGAGGGAGTCAATGACGCCGAAGAAATCGTTCAAAAGTGCGGCGGCTAAAGCAGTTAAAGCTGTTGAGGAGAAAAGTAAAGAAGACGAAGTGTCGAAACAACAAACTCAAATGCAACAAGAAGAGAAAGTGGTTACACCAACTATCTCTTCTGGCGAAGACAAAATTCAAGAAGAAATGAAAGAGGAAGTAAAGCCAACACCACAAGATATACAAAAAGTTGAACAACATATTGAAGAGACACCTCAAGAAGAAAAGCATGGGGAAGTCGGTGTTATTGCTCAAGAGGAAGTGAAAACTCAAGAGGAACCAAAAGAAGAAATTAAAAAAGAAGTTGTGGAGGAAGTGAAAGCTGAAGAGTCATCTGTTGTTCAACAAAAAGGTGAACAACTCATTGAAGAGACACTTCAAGAAGAAAAAGAAGAGGAAGTCGCTGCTTTACAGGAAGAAGTGAAAATTGAGACTCAAGAAGAACAAAAAGAAGAAATTAAAGAAGAACAACAGACAGTTGCACTCGAACAAACACAACAAATTGAACAAGAACAAAAGAAAACAGAAGAAGTTGTTGAAGAAGTTCTACACGATGAACCACAAAACGAAGTCCACAAAGAAATACAAAAAGAGGAAGAAGTCAAAAAAGAAGAACTACAAGAAGAACTCCCCGTTGAAGAACACATCGAAGAACAAAAACAAGAAGAGGTGATTCAACCAAATGCAGAACAACCACTTGAAGAAGTGGAACAAGTTGAAGTTAAACCAGAAGTTTCAACACAGCAAGAAGAGCCACAAAAGGTCGAAGAACATCATGAAATTGAAGAACCAATGGTTGTCGAACAACTGAGTTCCCCACAAAGTACTGAACCAATAGTTAAAATAGAAGAGAAAGCGGAGGAAAAGTCCGAAGATAAAATTTCTGAAGCATCACAAGAGGAAGAAGAGAATCTAACACAACGCAAAGACTCGATTAACGTCTTGAAATGGTGTCCAATAGAACCACACCAGAACCAAGAAGCAGGGATGCAGACTATTAATGAAACATATGAAGAAGACTATATCGACGAAGAGAAGGAGAAGATGGCCGAAGAGCTTGAGATGACCAAACTTGAGTTGGACAAGACAAAGCGGGAGAGAGACTTTTTGCAGCGAACCATTGACGACGACAAAAAGGAAGTCGACGAAATTAGACAACAACACGAGAAGGACATCACACTTGTCGCGTCACTCCAACAAACAATTCAACAACAACAGAACCAAATTGCAGAACTGCAAAGAAAGAAACAAGTCGAAGTGAAAGAGTCTGAAAAGGATAAGGTCCCACCAGCACTGGAGGAAGACGAGGTCATCACTACACTCAAAATCCGAGTCGAAGAACTCGAGAAGCGTGTCGCAGAAGAGAAAAAGGCGAGAATTGAAGGCGCCGAAGTCATCAAGATGATGCAAGCGGCTCAATGTGAAGGAGTCAGTCAAGTTGAAATTGACGACTTTAAGAAAGATGTCGAGGAACGTGTCGCTGGGTTACAGAGTCGAATCAAGATTTTGGCGGCTGAAAACGAAAAATTGAGAAAGGACTCTTCTGGCAAGCGACTGTTAACAATCAAAAAAGAGGCTACCGACAAACTGACTGGGTATAAAGATGAACTCACGGTCATGAAGAGAAGACTTAATATGGTCATCCAGTCCATGGGCACTAAATGATTTCTTTTTATTCATTCGATCACTCCAAACTCTTTATTAATAGTTTTGAAATGGTTAAATGGACTATAGTTATACTATTGAGTAGTTATAATTATATAAATAGATTAGAAATAGTAATCTTATAATAACGAGAATAGAATTCACTAATACAATATTTAATTATAAATTGATTCTATAACTACATTGGCTACAGATAAGTGTTAAGTTGATGTGTTCTAAGTCAACAAAAAGCATTCCAAAAGAGTGTAAGAACAATACCATCTTACACTATGGAGTCATCAATTGCATGACAAGAGTAATTGTGTTGTTGATTGATTGCCTTACATACTCTTGGCATATTCAATCGTTTCTGCTATCTCATCTGGGTGTTACTCACATCTTCACTTGTTGAAAAATCAGAGAAAATATGAAAAACAAACTGACACACGCAGAACAAAATTGTAACTCATCCTTCCCATCTCGAATCGCAAAGACAATATCATTGATCTTCAAAAACACTATTGCGCTCGTCTTGAAATTGACAATTTTCCTCGAAGAAAATGTCTTGCGCTTCTTCCTCAAATCCTCCGAAATGGTCGTTTTCTCTTTCGTCACTATCATCGCCTTTCTCTTCACTTTCGTTCCAATTTGTATCAAACTGAACATCCGCAACGTTTCAACATTCCTTTTTAAGACCTCCCGACTACACACTTTCTCCTTCTTCTGAATAGCTTCAACTAATAGTAAGTTTCCTGTTTAATACTATTCTATAGATTAAATAAATAATATAAATATATAATAATATTTATATTATTTAATAGGAATTATATAATAGGAGATATGTATAATACAATTATAATACTATTTACTATAAATTGAACTATTGTTGAAACATAAGAACAAACAGTCCGTTTTAGAGACAATTAAGTAGTCTTGGAACTCAAGCTCTTTCAAACAGCCTTTAATTGGGAGGGTTGGGAAATTCAAATTGGGTGTTCCGTCCGCATTCCCGACTAACACGACATAATTGGTCATCTCGGCATTTTTCATTGTCTCATTCTTCTTTTTAAAGCACACAAAGGCAAGACTAATCAACTCAGACAAGTCCTTCTCTCCGGAGATATCAAAATTCATTCGTTCTTTGTTCATCCACACATTTGTCCCCTTCACGTGTTTCCGCTCTTTGTCTTCGCGGGGGGTATTTTCCCTTGAAAAATGGGTCTTGAAATGCGTCAAACTCTTTCGCTTTGGATTCAAAAAGTCGGCCTTCTCGGGGGACCTGTCCCTGGACTTCTCCAAATTTGGAGAGTTCATCTCGCTGACGTTCCCGTTTGTCATGCGGACTTTTAAGAGCGGAATGGGGTGGAGGACTTTCTCCGGTGACAATCGCCCCATCCCAGTCAACACAAATGACTTCCCCAACCCTGAAACTCTGACACTCCCACTCGGTATTGGTATATCTGAGTCTATCCCACCCATCGAGTCACTCACTCTGAATTGATAATCCTCGGGATTCGAACTAAGACTCCTGTCACCAGTTAAATGAAGTCGTCGATTTCGCTCTGCTGTTATGATGGATATGAATTGGTTCACTGTTGTCGACCCATCGCACTGAAAAGCTACAGACATCTTCTCCGCCCCCCTCACATTGAAAAATACTTTGTACGTGTCTTTGAGTAATGAAAGTCTTCTCGGCGTCTTCTTGAGTGATTTTAAGTACTCGTGGTTATCCTTTACAGCAAAATGGGTTGTTCCGATCTCTCCTATTTTCGACGAAAACTCGAGCGGTGGGAGATCTTCATCGGGAACACCCAAATCGTCTGAAACCAGAATTTGATATGTCTCCGGATTCACATTCAAATTTAAGGAAGTCTCTTTGTTGATCTTTGTGACCATTTGCACGATGAATTGTGACACCGTGATTGTTGGCGAAGTCACTAAAGAGTAATTCAGTGGAGGGTCTTTCTCCAAAAAGTGCACTTGATACGAGTTGATTTGGATTGTAGAACGCCCTTTTAAGACTCTTGGGATCTTTTTCACTTCAAAAAGAGTGGAGGGGGTCACCACTGCTTTCAGTGATAACGAGTCAGACACTATCTCCGAGTCGTTCACTTGTGAAGAAGATGTTGTAGAGAACACGGCGTCAAAATTTTTGAACGGATAAGAAAGCACTTTACAGGCCGGAGTGGCTTGCCACATGTGTTGAAGAGTTGTTTGTCTACTTGTCAATTTTTTTAATTAAATTAACTATTGAATTTATTATTATAGTAAATGGAGTTTACTATCAAATAATCGTAACAAACAGTCCAATTGCGTTTAAAAGTGTTGGCTCGGTTATGTATTTTTCCAAGTCCATTGATTGCTTTATTAGTTTTGAATAAAAGAGAAAAGAAGAGACTGAATTCATTTCCGACTCACAGATGTTTTGATATTTTTCTCTCAAAAAATGTCCATCAAAGTATTCGTATAAAAAATAAATTATAATATATAATAAACTGTATTATAACAAATAGTATTGAAAAGGAAGAGAAAGAGGAACTAAAAAGAGAGAAGAATAACTGCAAAACGGAGAAAAGAGAAAACTTGAAAGTGAAGAGGTATTTTTCAATGCCAAAATCTCGTCGTCAATCGAGGAGCTCGAAAAAGAGTAAAGAAGAAAAAGAGAAGCGTGAGGAGGAGAAACGTTTACAAGAAGAGAAGAACAAAACCACTGAAGAACTGAACGACAAAAAGACTCTTGACCAACAGAAGAGTTACTTCGAACAACTCGATGACTTCAAACTCGAAGAGGACATCGACACTACAAAACCAGAAGAAGATCAACATTTAACAACTGTTGCATTAGATAAGCCTTCCACACCAACAACTCCACTATTAAACACTAATGAGAGTCATAACGAGAAGGACGAAATTTCTGAGATACCAATGGAAGAGAGTTATATGCGACTTTTGCCCTCTAAAGGTATAGAGAAGGGATCACCCGACGACGTAGAGGAAGGTAAAATGAAAAGAAAAGACGACACAATCGACTTTTTAGAGAAGAGAAGAAATGACTGAATTGAGTGCTCTTTAAAAAAGAGGAAGAGAAGACGGAAACAAGAAAACATTAATTAAAAGAAGGTTAACATCTTTAATACAAATATATTCGAAAGGGCAGACCATCACTCTTTGCTTGAAGAAGGCTCAATCCTCTCTTTCTTGATTGAACCGATGGAGTGGTCGATATGCAGAACACTCTCTTGCACACCCCCCTCCTTCTTCTCTTGCTTGTGTTGTGTTTCTTCTATCATCTCTTGTGCTTCTAAGCTCTTCATATAACGACATATCGACGACGGGGACACTTTCAGTTGCTTCGACGCTTCTCTCGTGCTCTTCCCTTTCACTTTCACGACGTCCACAATTTCTTTTAACAACTCCAAGGAGTGCTTTGGCGGGGGTCCTCGCTTCTTTTTGTTCGTGATGTCGGCACCCTTTTTGATCGACCCGACAAGTCTTCGACAGTAGTCTTCTTTGATTCCAGTCTCGTTCGAGTACCTCCCCATCTTCCACGCATCCCCATGTTCCATGAACAAGTCTCGAAGTTGTTCCTTTTGGTCTTTTGTGTAGATCTTATTACTTCTCTTTCTCGGCTTTTTGTCTTCAATTGGTGGGAGGGCGTTACTCTTCTTTTTATTCGCTTTGACGTACCTCCCCGTTTTCTTTTGTTCTGTTTTCCCTTCAAATGAGTCACTTGTGTGTGTTGTATGTGGACTCCGACTTTGATCAGTTCCTTTTGCTGGTGTACTTCCTATAAACGGGGGTACCAATTTTTCATTATCTTTTGGTGGGGGAAGAGATGGCAATAGAATGTGTGCATCTTTGTCCCAGTCAATTGCCATAGTTCGTCTTGTTTCAGAGTTTTCCCTTTTGTTTTTGTATTCAAATGGTATTTATAGTATTTTTATTATAACCTACAACTATTCATTATAATATATCCAATATAATATATATTAGTAATATTAAACTATAGTATTTTAAATAAATTATATTTAATTTAATATATTATAACTAATTTAAATTATTATATCTAATTTAAATTATTATATCTAATTTAATATATTTAATTTTAACTCTATTATATCTTATTTATAACTTTATAGTAACTAATATATAAACCGATATTCAATTAAGATGTGTCCATTTCTGTTCCAAGAGAGAATCTATGTCTTAAGTCCATTTTTCTGATGAGTCTGTATTGCTCTCTTTTTGGCAACACTTTAATCACTTCCCTCATTTTTTGTTTCAAGCGTGGACGGATGTCTTTAAGTTTGTTGAGTTGTTCTTTCTCCTCTGAGATCTTTTGAGAACTCTTAGCTGCGTCGACTTTATTTGAACTCATTTTAGCTTTATCATTGTTCATGTCATTGTCAATCGCAATTAATATCTTTCGCTCTAATTCGTCGAGCTCAGTCAATTTAGTTTCTATTGTCTGGACGGTGTTCTCCACACGGGTGACACCCGTCTCACCCATTCCCGTCGACTTCTCTTCGGCAGGTGCTCCACCAGCGGCCTGTTCTTGGAATAATTCAAATTCAAAATCGTCCAATTCCATATCAATGTCCATGTCCGCGTCACTGATGTGCCCACTCACCAGTAAAAATAGCGCAACATACAACAACATTAGTAATATAATACTTTTGAAGTTCGTCTTTTTAAGTTTCTTTGATTTTCACTTTGCTCGCAAGTGGCGCTCGAAAGTGTTCAATTTCTTTTTCAAATACCAAATCTATACTTTAATAGTTATTTTACTATATTCTTTTAAAATCATCTTTTTTCAAAATTTTTTAAAAAAGTTTAAAACGTTTTAAAACTTTTTGAAACCTTTTTAAAAAAAATCCCAAAAAACTACAAATCTTCAAAAAACAAAAATCAAGTCGAATAACATTTTGAATAACAAAAAAAGATTTATAGCGCGAGTTCCTGTTGGATGGCAAAGTCGAATCGATGACGTAAATCAAACCTCCTAGCCAGTCGAACTCTTTCTCTTAAAGGCAAAACCATCAAAATTTCATGTTGTTTTTTACGAAGTGGTTTGATGAGTTTTTCGGCTTGTTCGGAGGCTTGTTTGCCTTCTTTAGCCCTCTCTGCGGCAAGATCCGCCTCTTCCCCGTTTCCCTGAGCTCCGTTTGATTTCGGGATGTTCTCGTCGCACTTGATGAGTGCTATTCTATCGACGTGTTCAAGTGC